AAGTTCGGAATGACATAATCAGTGTGAAACCAAAGAGTTGCTGAAAGTCTCTCGTTTCCGAAGAAATTTTTTAGTGAGGGAGTGGTGCAGTGATAGGCCAAAGTATTAATGTATTAATTTGTCGTTGGTTATTAACAATTGGTTGATTATTATCAATTGCTTGTAGAAGACAGCGATGTTGAATTTGTGGATTATTTACCGCAAAACGCAGAAGATGATGAAGCAGCTACGCATTCGGGCACTGAAGGTGCCAGTGCTACCTCGGAGCAACACTCGTTATCGAGTGGTTCGTTGAGTGCATTATTTGTTTCGTCACAAGAACTGAGTCACAGAAACATTAATTTTCATTGATTGCATTTCAGATGATGAATCTGAATTCATTCGTGGATTGAAGTTTCCAACAGTCGATTCATCTGAATCGAGCGATGAAGAGTTCGAGCTTAACAGAGAAGACAACAGGAGGATTAAAGTATCAAAAAGCAACAAGGAAATACCCAAAGACCCATCGCCGTCAGCAGTGAAACTTCGAAGTGAATCGTCGAGATCCACTTCGGAGAATGTCGACAATAATTCGGTGCCAGATCGTTTGTCGTTGTCGAGTGCGGGCAGCTTCTCGGACGAGAACGCATCGATGAGCTCCACTCGTTCGGACGCTCTTTTGAATCACAAGTCGTCGCTTTCTGATTCCAACAATGACTCTAACAACGATGTCGACAAACTTCACTCAATCCCATCAATCTCTGACATTAACGATTCCGTTGACGGCAGCAATTCATCCAGTCAAAAATCACTACCATCAAAGAAAGGAGACACTCAAGAAGTGCCATTGGACGATAGTGATCGAACATTGAGAAAACATCCGTCGCGTCAGCCACAAGAGAGCACAACTTCAGTACCTCGATCTACAGCCTTAACTACTTCAGCGAATACTGATGAACTATTCGAAATTTTAGATGTGATTCGTCGTTAAAACCAACACAATTCGTTGTTTGTATGTACTGTAAATAAGTGAATAAATATCTGCACTGAGTTCTCTTCTCAGTGTTTTCGCTCAAACTATACTTGTATTGACGTTTGTGATTTCAGTTGATTTGTGCGATGTTTTCAAAAATTTTAGTTGATATGTGCAATAAAAGCCGAAAGGTTTTGGAATACTTACTTGGTAACAACAACCAAATTTACACGTTTACTCATTCTGAGAGATGGTCGTTTTTTGATTTGTTTCGATGGTTTGTTCGTCGATCAACTTAAGGAATACACCCAAAGTGTAACTTTCGAATGAGTCTGATGATTAAATCTCGAAAGCAAAACACCTTACAATACGAGGCATGAGCATTGCTCACGTTGTCTTGCATTCGATGCATATGAAACTTTGAAGCTTTCCTGAGAAGGTTTGAACGTATGAGTGGCCCGACCCGTGTTCACATTCAGCTGAAAGAACATTCTATTGAAATGAATCGTGAAGATTTTAAATTAAGTCACATACTCAAACAATCACATACTCAAGAA